AGTTCACATCCAAATAACAGGCAAGACTGACTCTCCATCTACACTGCATTTGAAAAGACTATTACAACTTAGTGAGGCAGGACTAAAGTTATTTCAGTTCAGTTGAAATATAGTAAAGTACAGAAGACTAGTAGCAGTCTGAGAGTGAGTTAAAAAGTGGCAGTTACAGAAAAAAATCAAAAAACAACAACGATGGAAGCCATTGCAGGAGAGCCCCTGCCCCACTCAATCACATACCCACAGACTATCAAGAGCGCGAAAGACAAGAAAACCTATAAATACAGCCTGCTGAAGAACAACCCAGAGACCCTCATGGCAGACGTTTCACAAAAAGGGGACAGAGCCATCGTCACTAATCTGCTCCTCTACACAGCAGACTGCAATCTTTGGCACACGGTCATCTGTAAACACTACAAAAGTTATAGAAAACTAGGCATCTGTAACGGCAGACAAATCCAAATTTATGAAGAAAATGACACTAACAAGGCATTTCTAACAGTAAATATCTACCATAATGGAACGATAATGTTCCAGGGGACTGAAGCATGTCTCGGCTCTGTCCAAGCAAACTTCACCATCCTAAAAGCTCTGGCAGAGGCTGAGAAACAAGCACAAGGAGCAAACAGTGATGCTGCAGGAGGCTGTGACGCCCAGAGCTCAGGGGAGAGGCTAGAGGAGATGGAGCTTAACCCCGCTGAACACGACCCACAGCTGGAACAGTCCGTCAATCAGATCAGAAACAGCCTCTCCCTACAAGAGGTGGAGCTGGTGGAGCTCAGGGAACTAACACTCTCCCATGCAATATCCAGCGAACGCCTACAACACCTGGACAATAACATCAGTCACCTCACACGAGACTTTGAAACTAGTGTTGAGGAGCTAAAAAGAGAGATATGCAAACTGCAGCAGCAGCAGCAGCAGCAGCAGCACCCGAGTCTAGCACTCCAGCAGCAGTGCCACGGACACCACAGACAGAGGCCCCCGAGGGCATATCAGACATGGACATAATAATATTACAGGAAACATGGCGCAGAACTGATGAAGTCACTCTTTGTCCCCCAGGATACTGTGAAATATTTTTATCCTCTAGAAAACATGAAAAAATCACACGTGGAAGAGATTCAGGGGGCATCATTATCTGGCACAAACAAGAAATTAACAAATACATCCAAACAATTAAAAAAGAAGAATCAGATATATGGCTCAAAATCAACAAGCACCTTACCCAAACCACTAAAGATCTTTTTTCTTATGCGCTCTCTATATTCCTCCTTCTGAATCCCCATACTATATTTATCCCAAATTTGAAATACTTTACCCTGATTTTAAAATGTTAAACAAGAAAACACAACTTCAATATTTATTAGGTGAAAAACAAGATTGTATCTTACTAGCAGCAAGATACATTGATGCCTGTCACAAAAAGAGGGAGGAGTCAACAAATCAGTGATGCGCTCACACACACACACACAAACACGCACACACACCACACACACACTGAATTATAAATTGTTTGTAGAATTCTACGACTCCAAAACTTTAATTTGTTTTACTTTTTTAAATGTATATACATACATGTTCTTGTTGCATATATATCTGTTCTAGATTCAATGTAAACACTATGCTTTGGCAATACATTGTAACAATTGTCATGCCAATAAAGCACGAATTGAATTGAATTGAATTGAGAGAGAGAGAGAGAGAGAGTGTGTGTGTGTGTGTGTGTATGTGTGTGAGAGAGAGAGAGAGAGAGAGAGAGAGAGAGATTGTGCGTTTTTGTGATTTATGAGGACACAAAGTTGTATAATGACATGGGTATGACATAGGTATTTCAGCGAGAAGGTGATTTATGAGGACATTTTGAGTGTCCCCGTTTTTCAAAAGGCTTAGAAATCATTCAGAATGAGTTTTTTTTATTGAAAATCTAAAAATGCAGAAAGTTTTCTGTAAGGGGTAGGTTTAGTAGGGTTGGTGTAGGGCAATAGAAAATTACCAAACCATTTAAACCATTTAAAATTAAACCATTACCAGCCTATGTGATGTCCCCACAATTCACAAAAACAAACCTCTGTGTGTGTGTGTGTGTGAGAGAGAGAGAGAGAGAGAGAGAGAGAGAGAGAGAGAGAGTGTGTGTGTGTGTGTGTGTGTGTGAGAGAGAGAGAGAGAGAGAGAGAGAGAGAGAGAGAGAGTGTGTGTGTGTGTGTGTGTGTGTGTGTGAGTGAGAGAGTGAGGGTGTGTCAATTCAAGTCAAGTCACCTTTATCTATATAGCGCTTTTAACAAAACAGATTGTGTCAAAGCACTGTAAAGCATTAATTAGGAAAATTGTGTGTCAATAATGCAAAGTGACAAGAGTAAACACTCATTTTTCAGTTAAACTCTGCGGACCCGGATACGGGTCCAAATCGCGTAAAAAAAATGTATGCCTCATTTACATAGCCTTCCTTATATGGTATCAGCCCATATATTGGTTCATTTGAAAGCTTGGAGTGTCTTCTTTACAAACAATACCATTCCTTTTGGTTTTTATATTTATAAAGCAGTACAATTAAGCTTGTAAGAAATGTATTCATCCCACACACGATTTTCCGCCTAGCCATTGCAAACTTTTTTTACGAAGAATGTGTATTTGATATATTTTTCACAATAAAGTCAAGTCATATACCACAAGAAAGCTCTCATTCTCAGGAATTTGACGATGTAGATTATTTCATTGTGTGAAAATCATAGATCGAATTATCTTCAATTGAATTGCGATGTAAAAAAAAAAAACTGAATTTTTTATTGTGTAACATTTCTACACGTAGCACTGCTTCAGTTAGCCGCAAACAGCCACAAATATCTATAAACTCTATATTATCCTTTAGATTAGGATCTCTTCTTTCAAACAAGACTCTTTTCAGGTTTCTGCGTGCTTCCATCGGTGAGATATTCGTGTTCTGCCCAGGTAACGGAATCCAGCGCGTCAGCAGATCACAGGCTCTCCATCTCATGCCAGCGCGCATTCAGCTCTTCTGATGTTATAGAGATCTGCGGTCAGTTCTGCGCTGCAATTGGTCAGATTACACGTCACTCAGATCGGCCATTACAGAC